AAAAAAAAAAAAAAAATTAGTAAAGTCATTGAGAGTGTTCCCTTTATAAGGTCTTGAATATGCAGTGACTCTTCCCATCTTAGGAAGAAGTTTGGGGACCTCCCCTACATGCAGTATATGTGGTCCTTGGGGTCCCGGGTAGGGACTATAGTCCATGCAGGGGAACAGCATGTGCAAAGGCCTGAGGGAAGCACGTGTCCCTCTTATCAGGCCACAGACCACACCTTCCTCCAGAAGTGCCACTATCACCATGGCGAGCACCCGAGCTACGCCAAGCCCCAGCTGCCCCTGCCGATCTTCACCGTGCGACATGATGCCGGGGCTGTCACCTACCAGGTATCTCGGCCTCAGGGACAGACTCAGTCAGCACGAGTCATCCGGGAGCTGAGGGGAGTGGGTGAGGGGAGGCTCCTGGCAGGGCTTGGCCATCTGTCCCCACCTGGGCCATTGGCCCACCCAGTTGTAGGCAGGATTTACTGAGTTCTGGTGCGAATTGTGGGGTGGTGGAGTTGAAGCCTCAGGACCCTCCAGACGGAAGAGGGCAGAGCACGAGCACATGCCTGGGTCTGAGAGCCTCAGCAGTTCTCTTTGCGCTCTGAGCCTCCATTTCCTCATCTGTAAAATGGGTGTGGAAATCTGTCCCACAGCATTGTCGCGAGGGTTAAATGCAATAACATGGAGATGGCCTGGCAGGTGCCTGGCACATAGTGGCTGCTCACTGAATGGACTTCCCTTTCCCCCTTCTGAGTCCCAAGCCTACCAGGGAGATTGCACACCAACCCCAAGAGGGGAGGGGGCTGGTGTCAAGGGAAGGACAGTGTGACTGGTTTGAGGTAGGGAGAATCAGGTACAGCTCCCTGGAGGAGGTGGCACACTCTGATTGTAGAAGAAAAAATGCCCACTACCCAGGAGTCACCCAAAAAAGAAATACAAGGAGTTGGAATAAAGGAAGCTCCCCTGCCTCCCCCACCTCCCTTCTCCTGCCCCCACCTCCCGCCCTCGCCCCTGCCTCCCCGGTGGCCTCTCATAGGTTCACAAGTTTTTAAATACAAACCGGGATCACCTGGACGCTGCCGTGGTGGAAACGCTTGGCCAGAGCCAGCTCCAGGTGCCCCGCCTGCCTCCCGGTGCTCGCCCCCTCCACACCGTCCCCCCATTCTGTCCTCCCCTCGACACTCCTGCCCGGGGGCTGGCCGGGAGGTGAGCGGCTCAGCCCCATCGCCCGCCGCAGCTGGTGGGCGCCCTGTTCCAGGAGGCAGGGCCGCAGGCCCAGGGAGGCCGAGGCAGACCCAGTCTGGCCGCCCGCTTCCAGCAGGCCCTGGGCGACCTCGTGGCCCGGCTGGGCAGGTGAGAGCAGCGTCCCCCACCGAGACCCCCCCGGGAGCTGGATGGGGTGCTGGCCTGTGCCCAAATGACCCCTCTTCCACTCCTCAGGAGCCGCGTCTATGTCATCCAGTGCCTGAGCCCCAACCCCGGGAAGGTGAGCCCCCAGGCACCTGCACCCCCACCCCAGCCCCTCACCCCGTGGCTCCAGCTTCCTTCTCCCTGTCTCGCCGCCACAGCTCCCAGGCTGCTTTGACGTGGGACATGTGGCCGAGCAGCTGCGCCAGGCTGGCGTCCTGGAGGCCGCAGGTGCCCGCAGTGTGAACTTCCCCGTGCGTGTGCCCTTCGGGGCCTTCCTGGCCAGGTAGGGCCCTGCCGCAGGGCAGGACTGACGAGGAAGCCCCTGGAGTGATGGCTGGGGGTCCTTCCAGGTGGCGATGGGATGGGGCCTGGCGCCCAACCTCCCTCCCCTTCCCCTCCTTTCGTCCCTCTTCCTCTCTCCCTCGTCTCTCTCCTTCACTGCCCACGAGACGCCTCCCTCCGTGCAGTCCCCGTTCTCCACCACAGCAAACCCCTCCTGTGCTCGTGCCTGGGGACCACAGATGAGGTGGGGGCGGCCCCTGCCCTGGGCGGGGCTGAGCCGGTGGGTGCTCAGGAGGTGCTGGCCGGAGGGAGGACAGCGGGAGCAGAGCCTCTGAGATGGGAAGGAGGGGTGGCCACCTGGAGCCAGGCGGGCAGCATCTGCACAGGTGAGGATGCGGTGGTGATGGGCTGCCAGGAACACCAGAGGCAGCTCTGTTCCAGGAGTTCGGAAACCTCTAGAAAAGCCATTTTATTGTTTGCCTCTTTGGCTTTGGCCATTGACTGGATGGCCGATTGGGAACCCTCTGAAGGGCTGGAGTTTGCCCCGAGGACAGGAGCAGGGCGGGGAGCAGGGGGACTCGGTTCTCCTCGTCCAGGTCCAGCTGGGCTGGCAGCACCTCAGGAGGAGTGAGGGGGGCAGCCACCAGGAGCAGCAGCTTCGCCCCAGGGCTCTGGCGACACCCTTTGCCTAGATGGCCTTGGTGACAGGGATAGCCTGGCCGAGGGCTGAGGCAGGCAGCAGGGATGGGTGTGACTTGCCTTGAGCCGGACACCGAGAAGTGCCAGGGTGGGGAAGGTTCTGTCTCTGCCCTTTGGAAACCTACCGGCTGCGGCAGTTGCCGCCTCTGCCAGGAAGCCCTGAGCCCGGGAGCTGGGTGAGGGGAACCGCAAGGTACAGCTGTCCACGCAGCACGGACCAGGTCTAAATGCTCTGTGGCCTCCCGTGGCCCCAGAATGTGCAGGGTGCTTGGTTCAGACTATCGAATGTCCATTGAGCCAACTTGCGACGGTGAAACCGCATTAAACACTCATCCACCCACCCCTGCCTCCCCTGCCTCCCTCCCTCCACAAACTTGCCTGGAGACCCACCGTGTTGCGGGGCAGGCACTGGGGACAGAGGCGTTGAGACCGAAGCCTCGGGACCACATTCCTGTTGCTCTCCCAGCCCCCGCTGAGCTCCAGGAGAGCAGAGGCCCAGTGCCCTGCCACATCTCTGTGCCCCGCCCAGCACCTGGCATATAGGGGACACTTTCCAAACTGTTGAATGACCTAGCAACTGAGTAATACCGAGGGGCCTGGGGCGTCAAACTAAAGTGAAAAGAGGGCCTCGCTGTTCTGACTGTGGCTCTCCGTCCTTGGGGCAGGTTCCGGGCCCTGGGGACAGCGGGGCCGGAAGACCCCTCTGACCGGGAGAGGTGTGGCACCATCTTGAGCCAGGCACTGGGGGCTGAATCGTTGCTCTATCACCTCGGAGCCACCAAGGTGGGTGTGTGGGTCCGTGTGTGCGGGGGGAGGGGGGCGGGCTCGGTGGAAAGGAGAGGCGTATTCTGGGACAAACAGGGACAAGCTCGGCATTCGGTGGTCCTTCCCAGTTGGAGATGGAGAGGGGCTGGACGGCAGGCTGTCCCAGGCACCCCAGAAGAACAGATTGTCTGGCAGGAGGGAGGAGGCCGGGGCCTGAGGAGGAGAGCAGGTGCCCATCCCCCGGACCTGCCCGCAGCCTGCACCTCTGCCCACAGGTCCTGCTGCAGGAGCAGGGCTGGCAGCGGCTGGAGCAGCTCCGGGCCCAGCGGTGCTCCCAGGCCCTGCTCACCCTGCACCGCAGCCTCTTCTCCTGCATCTCCCGCCAGCGCCTCCGCCTCCTGCCCCGGATGCAGGCTCGTGTGCGTGGGCTCCAGGCCAGGTCTGCAGGCGCTGCAGCCATGGCTGCAGTGGGTGGGGTGAGGCCGTGGGCTCCTCCTCAAGGTGGTGGGCAGGGTTGGGGAGGCGCAGGTGTTAAGGCAAGTCCACCTGCCCCATGCTCTCCCATTAGCACTTGCCTCCCCTTGATGGCGTTCCCGCTCATACCCACAAAGTCTCTGCTTGAATACCCCCAGTCACGAGAAGCTCATTACCTGTTGAGGCCACCTGAACCTGCAGTCCTAACCCTTTGATTGTTCTCTTTTCTGCTCTACTCTCCACTCTGCAGCAAGAGTGATCTTTTCAGAGCATGCATTCGAGTGTGTACAGTCTACCTACCTCTCTGGCCCCCATGTTGGCCAGACTTTTCCACTCCAGCGACTTTGTACTTCTAGGTCTTATAATGCTACCCTCCCCTTCTCACCTCATTGTCTCCTGTCACCCTCACAGCCTGTCTTCCCTCATCCCTGCAACAGCTACCGGCTGGCCATCCGCCCCGTCTACCCGTCTACCCTGGGCAGACACTGGCGGCACAGGGCTGGAGGCAGCAGGGCTGGTGCCTCCCGGGCTGGCCAGGGAGTCAGATTCAGGCGGTGAACCAGCCACTGGACACCCCAAAGGGTAACTCGAGGGCTGAGAATAAAGTAAAGTGGTGCCAGGGCAAGGGCACCAGGGCAGCCTCCAGAGAGGGGACAATGTCACCTGTCTATGTCTGTTCCCAAAACTTTTTCGTCACGAAAACAGAAACTCTGCCTGTTAAGCAATAAACTTCGTATTCCCCATCCCCCCAGCCTCTGGCAACTTCCAGTCTCTGTCTCTGTGACGTTGCCTGTTCCAGCTGTTTCCCATACGGTGACTCACACGCTATTTCCTTTTATGACTGCTGCTTTCACCTAATGATTTCCAAGTTCCTGCGTGTTGCAGCACGAATCAGAACTTCATTCCTTTTCGTGGCTGGATAGTGCTCCATGGCGTGGCTATGCCACATTTGACTCCTCCGTGCATCCACGGACAGACGTTTGAGTGGTCGCCACCTTTTGACTGTTACGAACAATGCTGCTATGCGTGTGGGCGTACAAGTATCCGTTCTAGTCTCCGTTTGCAAATCTTTGGGGTTTATGCCTAGGAGTGGGACTGCTGGGTCGTGCGGTAATTCTATGTTTAACTTTCTGAGGCGCTGCCAAACCGTCTTCCATTTTATATCCTATGAGCAATGTACCAGAGTTCCGATTTCTCTGCGTCCTGGCCAATACGTGCCACTTTCTGTTGCTAAAATTATAGCCGTCCCCGTGGATGTGAAGTGGGATCTCATTAGGGTTTTGATTTGCATTCTCTCATGACCGACGGTGTCGGCACCCTTCCGTGTGCTGCTCAGCCCCGCGGCATCTTCTTGGGAGAAACGTCCGTTCCGGCGCTCTGTTTTTCAGTCGGGTTGTCGTTTTGCTGCTGACTTGCAGGAGTTCTTTACAGGTTCTGGGTATTAGCAAATAGCCTCTGTGGACCGTCTGTTCACTCTTCTTACGTGTGTCCTTTGATGCACAAAAGTTGTAGGTTTATTTTTAAATGTTTGTCCTGCTCAGGACCCCTTTGAGGAGTCTGGTCTTCTTACATCTTGGAATTTCTCAAAGATACTTTGTGTGCACTGTCCCTGTTCCAGGATCTCCTATTCGATGTTCAGTGATGTTACTTTTTGATTATAAGTTCTGCTTCCTAAATAATAATATGACAGACTCTGTTCTACATGCTTGCATCTGCTAATTCCTTTCATCTTGTTGTGGGGCAGGCATTACAACAATCCTGATTTTACAGATAATGAAAATAAATCGCAGGGAGCACAGAGAGGCACAGGGGTTTATCTGAGATCACGGTGACTAACTGGGGGCGTGACCTGGCCCAGGCAGTCCGGCTCCAGAGTGGGATCTCGGTGCCTGTGCTAAACAGCCCCTCAACTGACCTCGGCTTTCACGGCATCCTGTGCTTCTCCTGCTGCTTCAGTTGAGCATCCAGGGCCTTCGCTGCTCCGGAATCAGTTTTGGGTTTTTTGGGAGGTTGTTTGTTTTTGTTTTTTGTTGTTGTTTTTTTGAGGGTCTCACTCTGTTGTCTGGGCTACAGTGCAGTGGTCTCATCATAGCTCACAGCAACCTCAAACTCCTGGGCTCAGTGATCCTCCTGCCTCAGCCTCCCAAGTAGAGGGAACTATAGGCGCGGCCACCACACCCGGCTGATTTTTCTATTTTTTTGTAAAGACGGGGCAGGGCTGGGGTCGTGGGGGAGGGTTTCTCTATGTTGCTCAGGTTGGTCTCGAACTTCTCACGTCAAGCGATTCTCCTGCCTTGGCCTCCCAAAATGCTGGGATCGTAGGTGTGAGCCACTGAGCCCGGTCCAGAGTCGGTTTTGACACAAATGTCTAGGCTTAGAGGATTTGGCAGCCAGTCAGGAGATGTAAGTTTGGACTCTTCATCCCTGCCCCCCACGGCCTCCAGGAAGCGGTACCTCCGGCGGCGAGCAGCTCTGGGACATCTGAACACCGTCCTGTTGCTGGCCCGGCCCCTGCTCTGGAGGCGGCAGAGGCTGCAGGTGCAGGGGTTCGGGGCGGGTGCGGGACTGGGGGAGCTCGGGCAGAAGCCAGGCAGCCTTGGCTGACCAAGTTGGCCAAATCCCAACGGTGTCCACCCTCTCGGCCCAGCCTCACAAGGACCACGGCCTCCAGGCCACTGCTCATGGGCTTCTCCCCCTTCCCTCCGTGTGGCTGAGGATGGCTTGGCCACTGGGAGGGTGCTGTCCTCCGTCATCCCTGCCGGTCCACCAGAGCCTGGTCTTCCCTTCCTGCCTGGGGCTCCTTCCCATCCCCCCGCCCTCCCTTGGGGCCCTTCTGCTCCTTTCTCTTGCCTGACGACTCCAATTCGAGAGCCATAAAGCAGCTCAAAGGTCAGTGCCCACATGATGCCCCCCTCTCTGGCCTGTCCCTGGCCGGACTTTGTCCCCTGGGACATTTCTTCCCTTCTTCCTGCCCTCTTGCCGGTGCTCTGGCAGACAGGCTGCGACTCCCGAGGTGCTGAGGCCGGTGAGGCTCTGGAGGGCCAGGGACAGGCGGGGGCCGATCGCCCCGCCAGGCAGCTGCCCCTCTGGCGCTGTTCTCCTGCCTTTGCTGGTGTCAGGGCCTCCTGGGGGCAGCAGCGTCAGCTGAACTGTGGAGCTGGGGGGGTGCCCCTAGGGGACTCATGGTGACTCCCCACCAAAGGCCTCAGCTCTTCCTGCATCTCCCCCAACAGCTTGGGCATCGGTGTGGCTGGTGCGGCGACGGGGCCTCGGGGACAGCGCCAAGCATGGTAGGTGGCCTGGAAGCTGGAGGAGTTCTACGCTGGGACGTGAGCCCACTGAACCTGGCACACCTTGGAGGGAGGGGTGCCAGGGTGCCGCTGGGGGTCCTGTCAGTCAGGGATGTTCACCGTGTGCCTGAGAGCAGACTGGGCTGCCCTTGGCGCTCCAGGGCTCATGGTTCCCTCTGAGGGTCCCTGGGGCTCTGGTTGAGTGTCCAGGGTCAGAACACCCGGTCTTTGGAGGGCTGTTTATAAACTCGAGGCTGAGAAGGGACCCTGGGTCCCTGCGCCCCCTCCCTTGGTTCCTGGGTCAGTCGGTCCTCCCCGCCAGGAGCTGGGGAGCTTGGAGATCCCGGCGGAGCTGGCCGTCATGCTGAAGACAGCAGAAGGTGAGTCTCATTGGTGCTTCTTGCTGGGACCCCTTCCCTGGTCCCTTTTCTGTGTAGTGGGTTTGTCCCCTGTGGTCCAGGCCCCCCAGAGCTCACCGCCCAGCTCCCTGTAGCCAGAGGCTGGTGGCTGATGGTGAGGGGGGCTGCCAGGACCAGTACCACACCTGGTATCTCTGGGCTGCTTCCTGATGTCGTTCCCAGGCCACCAGGATGCCCTGGCTGGGAGCATCACCGAGTCCATGCCCCCTGAAGTCCCTGCCCGGCCCAGCCTGACCCTCCCACCAGACATTGACCGGTTCCCCTTCTCCAGCTTCGTCTCCATCGGCTTCCAGGTGGGCCCCAGCCTGTGCTCTCCCTGCCGGCCCCACCTGTCCCCGACACGGGCACCTGCCCGGAGAAGCTGCGCCTTGTCCCTCTTTCTCCACTTTTCCTCCTCACTCTCCGGTCACCGGGGCTCTGGATGCAGATGAATTGCTCTGAAAATGTCCGTTGAACCAAAATATCTCACCACGTACACGTTCGATCCATGTTGCCACACCTTTGTTATCCCACAGTATTGCCCTGCTGCGGAAGTCAGGTTGTTAGAGAATGTTTACCGACGAGGGAAACCGTCCAGGCTCCAGCGTTCAATACAAAGGCAGGATTCAAAACTGCACATATAATATGATCTTAATTTCGTTTAAAGTCAACAATAGAATGTGTGTGCTGGGATGTGTATATCTACGCATAGAAAGTAAGATGAGAAAGAAAGAGACTTAGCTGGATGCAGTGGTACACACCTGTCGTCCCAGGTACTTGGGAGGCTGAGGCAGAGGGATCACTTGAGGCCAGAGTTGGAGCCTGGGCAATATAGTGAGACCCCATCTCTATGAAAAATGAGAAAAAATTAGCTGGGCATGGTGGTATGCACATATGGTCCCAGCTACTGGGGAGGCTGAGGCAGGAGGATCGCTTGAACCTGGGAGTTGGAGACCAGCCTGGACAATATAGCAAGACCCCATCTCTAAAAAAAGATTTTTTAAAAAAATTAGGCATATGCAGTGGCACACACCTGTAGTTCTAGCTACTTGGGAAGCTGAGGTGGGAGGATTGCTTGAGCCCAGGAGTTCAAGTTTGCCATGAGCTATATGATTTCACTGCTGCATTCCAGCCTGGGCAACAGAGCAAGACCATGTCTCTTAAAAAAGAAGCTAAAATGTTAACTGTGATCATTTCTGGCAGTGAAATGTTAACGATGGTTTTAATTTTCTTCTTTACCCTTTTCCATGTTTTCTGAGTTTTCTGCATGTGTGGCCACAAATTTTCTAATCAAAGAGCATTAAGATGCATTTCTGCAATGGCTTTCTGTGAAGCCCCCTTCCTCTCCCAGGCGGGTGTTCCGTGGGGCTCCCCCAGGGCTGTCCTCCAGCCAGCCCCTGCCCACACCCTGTGTCACTCTCCTTCCTTGCAGGAGCCATCCCTGCCCAGGCCAGGGCAGCCGCTGGCCAAGCCCCTGACCCGGCTGGATGGCGAGAACCCTCAGCATGCCCTGGACATCAACAAGGTGGTGAGTAGCTCATCGGAAGGGGTAGGCCCTCGCAGGGACGGGATGGGCACACGGCAGCCCTGCACGTGCTGCCCTCACCTCACTGCGCCGGCAGATACTGCGGCTCCTGGGGGACGGATCCCTGCAGACCTGGCAGAGGCAGACCATGGGAACCTACCTGGTGCGGCAGGGGCAGCGCCGGCCGGGGCTGCGGGACGAGCTCTTCAGCCAGCTCGTGGCCCAGCTCTGGCAGAACCCGGACGAGCAGCAGAGCCAGCGTGGCTGGGCCCTCATGGCCGTCCTGCTCAGTGCCTTTCCCCCGATGCCAGCCCTGCAGAAGCCCCTGCTCAAGTAAGGGCCCTGGGGGTGGGGACTTGGCAGGTGGGGCGGGCAGACCCCTCCGCCTTCACAGCAGCCCTGTGCTGTCCCCGCAGATTTGTATCTGATCAGGCCCCCAGGGGCATGGCGGCGCTGTGCCAGCACAAGCTGCTGGGGGCCCTGGAGCAGTCGCAGCTGGCACCTGGGACCGCTCGGGCCCGGCCACCCACCCAGCTGGAGTGGATGGCCGGGTGGCGGCGGGGCCGCATGACTCTGGACGTCTTCACCTTCAACGGTGATGGCCACCTCCTGCCGAGGCCTCCCCAGCCTGCCCCCTCGCCCTCCCTGGACCCCCTCCTCCCTCAGCCTTCCTGCTGCCCCCACTTGCTCGGTGGCCCTGATCTCCCCCATCTTGCTTTGGGACCCCCGTAGGATAGCAGCCCCTTCCTGTCAGGGTGGCCCTGCCGCCCCTCACTCCTGTCCCCACGCTGCCCCTGCAGAGGAGTGCTACGCGGCCGAGGTGGAGTCCTGGACCACGGGGGAGCAACTGGCCGGGTGGATCCTGCAGAGCAAGTATGGGGGCCTGTGGGGGGACAGTGCGGCCAAAGCTGACCACTGTCCCTGTCCTCCTGCCTCCTCCTCGTCTCCCCAGCCCCCTCTTCCTCCCAAGGGGTGGGGAGGGAGTGCCCCCAAGTGTGAGGGTCAGTGGGCGGGGTCCATCCTGGAGACTCATGGGGGAGCAGAGAGATTACGAGGAGGGGTGTGAGCGCACCTGGTTGCCAGCCCAATAGGCCAGGAAACAGATGTGAGCGTCGGCAACGACATCCAGACACAAGGAGAGCTGTCCCAGCTGCCGAGCAAGCCGGTCCCGGGGCCACCCTCCCCTCCCCAGCCCCCACCCTCTGGTCCTTGCCCCTTCATCTTCAGGATGGCCACCTGCCTCCATGGCCACCCCCCACTCCTTGCCCATCCCACCCAGAGGCCTGGAGGCACCCCCCCGTGGCTGGTCCGTGTCGCTGCACTCTGGAGACGCATGGCAGGACTTGGCGGGCTGCGACTTTGTGCTGGACCTGATCGGACAGACGGAGGACCTGGGAGACCCAGCCAGTCCCCGCAGCTACCCCATCAGTGCCCTTGGCTCGTAGGTGCTGCCCCACCACACCCATCCCTGGCCTGCCCCTGCTGGTGACTCCCATGGCCACCCTGTCACGCCCAGGGGCTCACAGGAGCAGCTGTAAACCCTGTCCTCCCACCTGAGCCTCCTCCCAACTGAGCCTCCTCCCACATGCGGGGCGACCCCCACAGCAGCATCTACCTCTTGCCTCAGCCTGGGTGCCCCCCAGCCTTGGCAGCCCCCTTAGCTAGACCTCCTATTTCCCGCAGAGCCGAGGCCATTCCCCCCGCCCCTGGTGTCCAGGCCCCCTCACTGCCCCGAGGACTCCCTCCAGGTCCAGCCCCAACACTGCCCAGGAGGGGCCACACAGGTAAGGCTGGGGTGGCCATACTGAGGTTGGCAGAGTGTGGGAAGCCCCCGACCCCTGGTGGATGGTGCCAACCCTCTCCCTGCCCCGCAGGGGGCTCCGGCACCTCGGGGAGCCTGGATGGCTTCTTGGAGCACGTTTTTGAGCCAGTCTTCTCCCCGGGCTTCAGCGTGAGTGTCCTGCACTCCCCCCAGCCCCTCCCCTGCTGCCCCTTTCACTTTTCCCAGCCTCTAGCTCTGACCCTGTGACCACTGTCCCTTTAGGATCTGGAACACGGCTGGGCTCTGAGAGGCCGCATGAAGGGAGGGGGCGCCATCGGGCCCATGCAGCAGGGCTACCCCATGAGTGAGTGTGGGATTTCCCATCACGGGCCTCCCTGGCCCAGCAGCACGGGCAGGCACGGCCTGGGTCCCCGCAGGCAGCTGGGATTGGCCTCCGGCCAGCAGCCCAGGGGCCGACGTTCTTCTCTTTGTCTAGGGCTGGAGGGAGGTGGTATGTGGGCCCAGGTAGGAACTGACTTGAGGCACCCCGTCCCCTTAGTGTATCCAGGAATGATGCAGATGCCCGGATACCAGCCAGCTGTGGTCCCTGCACCGGTACCCATGATGCCAGCCATGGGTACAGTCCCCCCCATGCCAAGTAAGGCTGGGCCAGGGTACCGAGGTCCCTTCTCAGGAGAGCAGTTGTCAGCTCTGGGACTGGAGCGGGGAGGGTTCCCCAGGAGCCCAGAGTGCACAGTGGGCGGAGGGCCTTCAGTTTGGCCGCGGTGCTCACCCGCCCTGGCCGCCCGCTGTCCGCGCAGCCATGGTGGTACCGCCGCAGCCGCAGCCCCTGCTTCCCAGCCTGGACGCGAGGCAGCTGGCAATGCAGCAGCAGAACTTCATCAACCAGCAGGCGCAGATCCTGGTGAGGGGCAGGGCCCCCAGGGCCACAGGGGGGACGTCTGGAGGGAGGGGTCTAAACTGGCCCACCACCCCTCTCCCTTCAGGCCCAGCAGATGACCACCCAGGCCATGACCCTGTCCCTGGAGCAGCAGACCCAGCTACGCCAACGCCAGCGCCAGGCTCAGGCCTTGGAGGCTGCACCCCGGGCCCCGCCCTCAGCCATCACCCCCAAGCCCAAGAAGCCCCCTGCCCCCCGGGAGGAGCCAGAGCCTGAGCTGGAATCAGTGAGTGCCTGCCTGAGGGTGAGGAGCTACACCCTCAAACAGGGTGGCAGTGGCGGGGCTGCAGGGGTGAGAGGTGCGGGTGGGGTGAGCAGGCAGATGTGGAGAAGAGGCTGCTGGGCCCAGGCCCTGGGACCCCAGGGGTCAACATGAGTACGGTGACGTGGCTGGCTACAGCGGCTCTTCCCGTCTGCCTCCTGCCAGGAGGGGAGCTCAGAGGAGGCTGAAGACAGGCCCCGGCCGCCTAAGAATTTCCAGCAGAAACGGGAATACTTCCAGAAGATGGGTGAGGGTGCTGGGGGCTCCCACACAGAAACTTGGGCTGGGGCTTGTCCAGAAGCCCGGGTGGGCAGGCCGGTGGGCCGACGTTGGTAACCATGGCAGGCCATGTGGGCACTTACAGGGCGGCAGCAGATCAAAGTGAAGACGGTGAAGCCTCCTGTCAAGGTCCAGATCCCCCAAGAGGAGGAGCAGGAGGAGCAGGAGGAGGAGGAGGAGTGGGAGGAGGAACCAAGAGCAGGTGCGGGGCCAGGGTGAGGGCCGGGGCTTGGGGCTGCTGTACTCTGCAGTGTTTAATGTCTTTCCCCTTCCCGGTCAGTGCTGTCCCCTCCTCCTACCCCCATAGTGAAGAAGCCATTGAAACAGGGTGGCGCCAAAGCTGCAAAAGAGGCTGAAGCGGAGCCGGCCAAGGAGGCGGAGCCTGGCCATGATCCAGGGCCAGCCAGGGGCAGGGGGCCTGTGGTGCGCAGCTCGGACCCCACGCGCCAGCAGCTGGAACCCAGCAGGGAAATTCGCAACATCATCCGCATGTATCAGAGCCGCCCAGGCCCCGTGCCCATGCCTGTGCAGCCATCCAGGTGGGCCTCTGGGGGGAGGTGGCCCCCAGGCGGAGGCAGCCAGGGCTGCTCTGTTCCTCGGGGAATTGCCCTATGGACCTAGTGACTTCTTCCTTCTCCCAAAAGGCCTTTCAAAACTTTCCTGAAGAAAAATGACCCTAAGGATGAGGCTCTGGCCAAGCTGGGGATCCAAGGTGCCCACTCGTCCCCTGAGGTGAGCTCCCCATCCCGTCCCCTCCAGTGCATGGGATGCTCGACTCAGGAGGCAGAGGCTCTCTGGGGCAAACTTGGCCTCACCCCTAGACTCAGTCCCTTGTGCTTTCTCTGTGCCCTGCCAGATGCTGTCCCCCAAGGGCCCTCCACCAGCTGTGGCTCCTCGACCCAAGGCCCTGCCACAGCCCGGGCCCTCCAGCTCCATCAAGGAAAAGCAGGAACCCCTTCGGGACCTGTTTGGCCAGAACCCGCCCACTGCCCAGGCACCCCAACCTCCGCCAGCGCCCCCGCTGCCTCCGCCCGAAGACCCAGGGGCCCCTTCAGCCGAGCCTCGTGGTAAGGAACCCCACATCCCCTGTGTGGCAGGCTTCGCTAGGGTGGGGGCAGGATTCCCAGCTGCCTCTCGATGCCGTGGCTGAAGGCATTTCCGCTTGGTTGAGGATGGCTGCTGGGCTCCCGGACTTTGGAGCCCTAGCTTCCGCATTCCCGCCCAGGGCAGGGTCTGGCACTGAAGGACTGTCACACACAGGGTGTTGTCCTCAATGCAGACCTGACAGCTCTGTGGGGAGTTTAGTGGCCCTAGCTGATGTGGTCATGGAGGCACCATGAGCCTCAGGGCCACCAGGGAAAATTTAGGACCAGGAATGGAGGCAGCAGATGGTACCGTGGGCAAGAGGTGTTACCGTGGGCAGGAGTGAGGCCGCTGGAGGTTGGGAGAGTGGGGCCCTCAAAGTCCCCAGGGCTGAGGATCTCCCCTCCACGGGCCCCCATCGTCCTGGCTCTGGCAGTCACCGCTGCCTGAGGCTCTTCGCCCCCTCCCCCGACCATGCCAGGCTTGATGGAGCCCATGGGGGACCAGGGCACCGCCACCCAGCTGCTCGTGCCGTCCGGCAGCGTGTGCTTCTCCTACGCCAGCGCACCCTGGAAGTTGTTCCTTCGCAAGGAGGTGGGCAACCGGGTGGGGCCTTGACCTGGCCTCTCTGGGCTGGCAGGGAGGTGGTCAGCTGTGGAGATCCCAGCCTGGGACCCCAGCGTCCCTTCTCCATAGCCCACCTTTGGGCCAGTTTTCCAGGCCCGGGAGGGCAGAGGTGGGCTGGGCAGGGGCACCAGACCCCCTGATCTTGGCTCTTCCATGCCCTCCTCCAGGTGTTCTACCCACGGGAGAACTTCAGCCATCCCTACTGCCTCCGGCTCCTCTGTGAGCAGGTGAGAGCCTGGCCCGCCTGCGACATCTGTAGGTGCCCTTCGCCTAATGCCTGAGCCAGGTTAACACCTGTGTGGGGCATAATGGCAGCACTTCCCATGTGCCCAGTCCTGCCTTCATTCGCGTAAATCTTTACAACCTCCCTGAGAAGTGGGCACCGTTATTAACCTAGTTTTAGAGATGAGGCTTAAAAGAGTGGACAGCACACAATGCAGGCTTTGGCACACAGTAGGTACTTAATAAGTGGTGGTTGTTACTTTGCTACCTCTGGGTGCTCCCAGGAGTGCGCCTCCCTTCCCCCACCCCCACCTGCACCTTCGGGAAGCGTCTCTCGGCTGACCCAGTAGAGTCATCGTGGGATCTCAGGGCAGTGAAGGCGGCAGGGGACAGGCAGTGTGGGTGGACGTGGCCCTGGGTCTGGGCGCCCGCCCTCCCCGCTCCAGCCAGGCCCCCTGTGGGCCCCCCCAAGACAGATGAGCCCTAGGTAGCTGCTCCCTGTGGGGCCGAGGGGCTCCCACTAGGCTCTCCAGCTTGTTCCCCATGCGTGTCGATGGCTGCTCCAGGGGTGGGCTCTGGCCTCACGTCCTGGTGGTGACCGCCTGGCTCTGCCCCCAGATCCTGCGAGACACCTTTGCCGAGTCCTGCATCCGAATCTCCCAAGATGAGCGGCGCAAAATGAAGGACCTGCTGGGTATGTGTCCGGGGTCCTTGGGGCCGGGAGCTTGAGTGCTGGGGGCCAGGACTGCCCTGAGGGCACGGCCCAGGGAGCAAACTCTGGGGCCTTCCTGTGTGAGCTGCGGGTGGCGCCTGAGGACAGCCTGGGCCCTTCCTGCCCACAGGAGACTTGGAGGTGGGCCTGGACTCCCTCGCCACCGCTGAAGACAGCATCAAGAAGCGCATTGTGGTGGCTGCTCGGGATAATTGGGCCAATTATTTCTCCCGCATCTTTCCTGTTTCGGTCAGTGGTACTGGGGGCAGGGACAGGGAGTGGGGAGGCAGGTCCCCAGTCTGGATCGAACGAAGCACAGCCACCGTCCCTGAGCAGCTCCCAGGCCTCTTGGGCAGCAGTGGGACCCAGGAGCTTGCCTATGACCCCCCACCTTCCTGGCAGGGCGAGAGTGGCAGTGACGTGCAGCTGCTAGGTGTGTCCCACCGAGGGCTGAGACTGCTCAAGGTGACCCAAGGGCCCAGCTTCCGCCCCAACCAGCTGAAGATACTCTGCTCATACAGGTGACCTGGCCCAGAGCCTGGGCTGGGGGGTGGGGGCTGGCAAGAGGGCCCCAGCTCATGCCCCCCCCCCCCGGCCCCGGGCACAGCTTTTCAGAGGTGCTGGGCGTGGAGTGCCCCCTGGGCTCCACCCTGGAGCTGTCGCTGAAGAATGAGCAGCTGGTGCTGCACACGGCCAGGGCGAGAACCATCAAGGCCATGGTTGAGCTGTTCCTGAGTGAGCTCAAGAAGGCAAGCGCAGGCTAGTCGGGGGGCCGGGTGGGGCCAGGCAGGCAGCCTCCACCCGGGCTGTATCTCCCCTGTCTGGTTTACCTGGGGTGCAGTGGGAGTTTAGGCTGGGTCCCTGGAAGGCCGGCAGGGAAGCAGGAGGGGTGGACAGGACCGGGAGGCACAGGCAGGCTCACTCCTCGCTGGCTGCTCCCCGCCCCGCCCCCAGGACTCTGGCTATGTCATCGCTCTGCGCAGCTACATCACCGATGACTGCAGCCTCCTCAGCTTCCACCGTGGGGACCTCATCAAGCTGTTGCCGGTGGCCACTCTGGAGCCAGGTATGGCTGGGGGCCAGCAAGGGGTGCTGGCACAGGGAGGGCATCTGATTGGGGGAGCCTGCCAAGGGGCGAAGGAGCCAGATGGGTGAGCCGCCACCCTTGGGATACCTTCTAGGTTGGCAGTTTGGCTCTGCCAGGGGCCGTTCCGGACTTTTTCCTGCCGACATAGTGCAGCCGGCTACTGCTCCTGACTTTTCCTTCTCGCTGGCGCAGAGGAGCAGCCTGCGCAAGCATCACTCGCAGCTCAGGGAGCCAGGGCTGGCTCAGCAGGACAGGGCCTCGGAGGTGAGGAAGACGGGAGAGGCAGAGGCGAGGCCTCCCCAGGAGTGGAGGAAGGAAAGGGTTTGATTGCCCCAGAGGCTGCCGGGTGCCTGGATCACCTGCTGCCCGCCTCCTGCGGCCTGGTGTTTCTCTGATGCTGTCCTCTCCTGACTGCTTGCCTCATCTTCCCAGCAAGACTGTGAGCTCCCTGAGGGCAGGGGCTGGGCTGTACGTCCCTCGTGGTGCTTAGTTTGGTGATGCCATACAACACACTCAATAAACGGCTCTTGACTTTCCTGGCTGCTGGTGCTGCTCCTCTCGGTCTGGATGGGTGTGGACAGGGCTAGGGCAGGGCCCCTGGGACAGGCTAGCGGGCACTCTGGTGGCACCACATTTCCTGTGCTCCCAGCGCCCCACCCACTCCTGGACCCAGGCAAACAGCGATGACTCAGAGGCCATCAGCCTGCCCTCCTCGACTGCCTACGCCTCTCTGTCCACTGACTCCCAGAGCTACACTATGCTGGAATTTGCCTTGCACTACTTCCGGAAGCCTCGGACCTTGTGAGTGCCCTGGGCCAATCCCTGTGCCTGTCCTCATCTTTCCAAAGTGAGCTCCTTGCTCGTAGCCACCAGGCCAGTGCTCTTACTACCCTCCCTACGCAGCTGGGACGAGGGTGGGGGCCAAGCAAGCAGGGTTGTCCCCCCTCTGCCCCTACAGGCTGGACCCAATGGATGGAGGAGCTGAGGAGAAGGCCATGGTCAGCCTGGTGCAGTTCAGCAAGGTGAGGGCAGGAGCGGGAGGAGTCTGGCCAGTGGACCTGCCCTCCGAGTCCCGTGGACACCAGACTCACAGTGCCGCCTCTTGGGCCACAGGCTCCCATCCAGGAATCGCTCCTCAGCATCAGTGACGAGGACACAAGCAGGCAGGCGGTGGCCGGCTTCCAGGGTGAGTGGCCACGGGCACCCTGGGTCCCCATGTCTGTAGTGCCACGGACCTAGGCGCCTAGTATCCTTCCCTCCTTGAGTGCTGTCTGGCTCTGCCCCAGTCTGTCAACTCAGGGAAGCTCACTGGTGGTTCCTGCGCCCCACGACCCTCACCCACTCCTACTCCCACCCAAGGGTGTGGGTTGTGTGGAGTCTTGGACTGGAAGGCAGTGGACGGGTCCAGCCGATGCTGTGCACTGTGCGGCGCCTTGGGCACCCAAGGGATCCCTCTGAGCCTTGGTTTCCCCATGGGTGGAGCTGGAGCCCTCTGTCCCACCTGGCTCCCACGCACTTTGTGAGGCCCCAGGTGGCAGGTGAAGGCCCTGCGTAGCAGCAGCATAAGCCAGGGCCGGCCCTGGCCAGTCTGCCATGCTGCTTATCCTGCCTGCAGCCCTGATGCAGTTTATGGGTGACCAGTCCAGGCCCCGGGGCAAGGACGAGCTGGATCTGCTCTACGAGCTGCTGAGGGTAAGCCAGGCCGCGTGCCCGAGTGCCAGGGTCAGTCCCCGCACAGCTTACAGTGAGACAGTCAATGAGGATGTGACATGTCTTGAGTGAGAGGTGCCATGGAGAGTAAAAAAGCAGGCAGGGGGCTGCTGCTTCACGACAGACCTGCAGGAGTAAAGGAGGGAGCCACGTGCACTGGGGGACAGGGAGAGGGGCAGGGACAGTCCTGCCAAGAGGGTGAACCCACCACTGCACGCACCAGCAAGGCCAGCGTGGCTGGAGCCGAGCGAGTGAGGGGAAGCGTGGAGGATGAGGACCGGGAGGGCAGAGGGTCCAGGTCGTGGCTGGCTTCGCAGCCATCGTAGGCCTTTGACTTTCTGAGGGAGGATGGGAAGCTGCTGGAGCGGTTTTGAGGAGAGACTTGACTTGCGTTTCCCAGGATCGCTCTGGCTGTTATTTGAGATTCTGAGGGTTTAAGGGCAAAAGGTCCCAGGCGAGATGGTGCTGGTCTGGCCCAGAGGCAGCAGCAAGGGGAGAAATGGGAAGATTTGGAGCCAGCGGTGTTTGCTGACCAATTGCGTGTGGGGGTGACAAGGCCAGGGCAATGACTGTCATCAGCAAGGAGCATGTCTGGGCTGGTGGACGAATCTGTTGGACACATGAGGTCGGAAACCCCAGACTTCCACGTGGAGGGGTCTGGGGTTCAAGAGTGTCATCAGACGGGAGCAGCTGAGACCATCAGAGAAAGTAGACCCAGCCAAGATGACTTAAGACAGATCAGAGAAGCAGGAGGAAAGTGACTTAAAGAGGGCGACTAGTCTCACAGATGCTGCTGAGATAAAGACTGAGAGGACCGCTGGGATGTCGCCTTTGACTCAGCTCCAGCCTACAGGTGTCAGCAGGCTCTCTCTAGGGCTTCAGACCCCACTGCCCTGCCCACCTGCACTTCCTGTCCCCACAGCTGTGTCAGGAGGAGAACCTCAGGGATGAGATTTACTGCCAGGTCGTCAAGCAGGTCACAGGACATCCCCGGCAGTGAGTGGGGATGGGCAGGGTAGCTGCTGGGGGCACTACGGTGCTGGGGTCAAGCCAGCCTGAAGCCCAGGCTCTCTGCCCTGCAGGGACCACTGTGCTCGAGGCTGGAGCTTCCTCAGCCTCCTCACGGGTTTCTTCCCACCGTCGACCACGCTGATGCCCTACCTGACCAAGTTCCTGCAGCAGTCAAGCCCCAGCCAAGGTGCCTGGGGCTGGGGGGCGGTTCTAGGATTGGGAACTTGGCTGGCTGGAGAGGGGCTCCAACACACTTATGACCCCAGCCTGGCTTCTCTGCAGAGCTGGCCTGGAGCAGCCAGGAGCACCTCCAGCGCACAGTCAAATATGGGGGCCGTGGGCGGCTGCCCCTGCCGGGTGAAATGCAAGCTTTCCTGGTACTGGGGCTGGGTAGCTGGGCATTCTGGCACTCCCGGGGGCAGGGGGCAGTGTCCACAGGAGAGCTGGGACCTCTGCCCACTAGTAGACTAACCCTGCAAACCTGCCTTGGCAGAAAGGTAAAACAGTCCACTTGCTTCTGATTCACCTGCCTGGGGGTACAGATTACAAGACAAATATCCGGACTTTCACAGTAAGCACAGGGGCCACCATGGGAAGCCATGGGCCTCAGCTCTGGGCCCTCCTCCCTCCTCCTCACTGTGGCCCTGTCCGTGTGCCCAGGTGGCAGCAGAGGTGCTGGAGGAGATGTGCAGACAGATGGGCATCACGGAGCCCCAGGAAGTGCAGGAATTTGCCCTCTTCCTCACCAAAGGGGAGGGTGAGTTTGGGAGGGAGCCTCACCCGCTGGGGCGGCAGGGCGGGGCTGTGGTGGCGCTGGCCTGGGCAGCAGGGCTGGCTGTGGACCTGGGTCCCTGTGCAGGCAAGCTGGTGCGGCCCCTGCGGCCCGGCGAGTACCTCAACAACGTGGTGATGGAGCGGGACGTGAGCCTGCACGGCCGGCGGCTCAGCTGGGAGACCCCGCTGCACTTCGATAACCCCACCTACATCAGCACCCACTACAGCCAGGTCAGCCACCTGCCCAGCTGGCGGGGGAGCCGCCGCAGCAGCTTGAGGACACAAGTTCCTGCCTGGGCGACCTCCAAGCCACCCTCCCCACAAGACTGTGGCAGCTGGAAGGGGATGGTGGCAGGAATGGGTTTGTGCCCCAGGAGCCAACTGATGTGGGTTCTGGGGCTCAGCTCAGAACCTCGGCTCAGCCCTCCTCATGGCCCTCCCCAGGTGCGGTGGGACTACCTTCAGGGGAAGCTGAGGGTCAGTGCCCAGGCAGATGCTCAGATTGCCAGGCTGGCTGCCCTACAGCACCTCAGCATGGACAAAAAGAACCCCCCCTCAGAGTGAGTAGGCACTCACTCCCCCCCAACCCCATCACTCCTCTTGTCCCACCTCCAGCCCACCACCCCCACTGCCTCCTCCACGGTCAAGGCCACTCAACTGGTACCCTTACTGGCCCGAACCAGGCTGGCCTGGAACAGCAGGGGCTGTGGACGCCTGTTCTCCCCGTCCCACCCAAGCTTCTCCAGGGCAGGGCCCTTGCCTCGCTCAGGTGAACAGATCCCCAGGCTTACCCACAATAGGTGCTCGTTCAGTTATTTGGCACCTGCTGTCTGCCCAGCCCTGCACCAGGTGGTCACAGGCCAAACTGACCCAGGCTGTGTGTCCTAGGCAAGACCTGCTAGCTTACGTTCCAAAGCCGCTGCAATGGGAGGTGAATATGACCACCATAAAGGATCTGATGGGCCAGCAGCTGAGACAGCTGCAAGGACACAGCCCCCGGGAAGCACAGATCAGCTTCATTGGTGGGTCCGGGGCTGAGAGGAAGGTTGCGGTTGCTGGGGTGGAGGCTGGAGGCCCAGGAGGGAAGGTTGAGAGTGGAGGGCTGAGGGGCTTCTTTACCTGCCCTGTCGGCAAGCAGGGCAGGTTCTAAAGCCCCAGCAGTCAGAACCCCTGTCCCGGCCCTCTCCATCCCCAGAGGCCATGAGCCAGCTGCCCCTCTTCGGCTACACCATCTACGTGGTGCTGCGGGTGAGCAAGCTGCCCCTGCCTGGACCCACCCTCCTGGGCCTCAACCACCAGCACCTCCTCTTCATGGACCCCAGCTCCCAGGTGGGCAAGGATCCTGCCACAGCACCAGCCTGGGGACCCTCAGGCCATTCCTTTCCTACCACCCACACTGACCCCTTCCCTGGAGAGGAGCCAAGCTCTGTCGTCTCTGCTGCCCCCAGAAACCGCGCTGCTCCATTGGCCTGAAGAACCTGCAGCGGCTCCGCCTGCTGAGCCCCCGGGAGGAGGGGGGCCCCCCTGGCCTGGAGATCAACTATGGCTCTGCTCACAGCCCCCAGACCACCTGGTTTGAGCTGCCGCAGGTAAGTGGCTAGGCCTCTGACCGCCCTGGGAAGGTGGATGCAGGTGCCTCGCCCCAGCCCTGGTGTGTAGCTGCCCCCTGTGAGGAAGGGGTGTGGGTGAGGGGCTGGCTGGGGGAGCCCGTCCCAACATGCCTTTCCCTGGGCAGGCCCAGGAGCTGCTGTACACCATCACCTTCCTGCTGGATAACACCTGTTCCCTTGAGTGGCCTGGCCTCAACTGACAGTGGGGGAGGAGTGGAGGTGAGGGGGAGGAGTGGAGGTGAGGGGGAGGAGTGGAGGTGAGGGGGAGGAGTGGAGATGAGGGGGAGGCCTCTCCCTGGCCCGGGTCGCACCTAGATGGTCTGCCTTGGATGCTGTCAGGTCACTCTGGTTTGGACTTCACCTCTTGGCCCTGTTCTGGAACCTGACACAGCACAACACAGCTGGCTCAAGTGGAGGCAGGGGCTGCAACAGTGTCACCAACTGGGAAAGGAAACAGCCAGGCTCTCTCTGAGGGGGGAGGGGCCTGGGTCCAGGGTGAGGGCTACAGGAGCTCAGCCTGGGCACCTGATGTTGCCCGGGCTCCATGGTAGCAGGAGCCCAGGCCTGGGAGGAGCTGCCAAGAAAATAAAACTCCTGAGAAAAAAAGGGCTGTGTGTGGCACGTGCGTGCGCCAGAACAAACAGGACTTTATTCCTCTCGTAAACGTCTCGGGTGGCCTGGCCTCCCCGACCAGGAGCTGAGCAGGGCACGCAGCCTGGCTGCTGCCCCTCTGCCACAAGCTCTGCGCCTGGGGCAAGGCCGGCGTCTCAAGGGATGGAGGGAATGGGCGCTCCCCCGAGTAGGCCCCAGTACCGTGAAGAGCCCTGGCTTAAAACTTAAGCATAAGACGTGAAGGGGCCACACCACCTACCACCGTCTATCCTGGGCATCTGGCCTGGAAAACCCAGGGAGGCTCTGAGAAAGGACCACAGGCTTTGCAAGCAGAAGCAAAGGTGGGCTGACCTCTGAACTTGATTTGGGAGGGGTCTGGGGCCATACCCAAAGCAAGGTGTGCTTGGAAGGTGGAAGGACCCCGACAAAAGCTGATGGCCCTGCATCTGCAGGGGAGGCTCAGGCTGGCCACGGTGGAGTCTGGAGGAGGACGTGGACCCTGCCTAGCCAGCAGGTGGTCATCTCTGTGGGCCACACAGGCTGTGCCAGTCAGCTTCACTCTCACACCGGGCCCGGCCGTGGAAAAAGTGCTTGATGAGTTTCTGGGCCTCTTCTTTCACTGCAGATTCAGGGTGAGGGGATGTGAGGGTCAGTCTCTTCCCTGCAACCAACCCCCTCAAATGCCTCCTGGCCCTGGCAATGCAGGCGCTCACCGCTCCTTCCAGGAGAGGTCTTCTGAGCCAGCAAGTGTGACAGGTGGCGGGCGAAGCCTTTGAACAATTCCTAGAAGGCAGAGGGAGAGGAGAAGCAGAGCGCAGGATCCCTGCCCTGATGATCCCTGCTCTGATGACCCCCGGGGCAACCCACAGCCACCACCCAAGGGCAAGGCGGGCCCCAGGGAGGGCAGGAGCTGGTCTTGGCCTCGGGCCTAGCCTGCTTCTGCCCTACTTTGTTCTGGGGCTCACACTCCCTTGTCCTCTCACCCCTACTGTACCCAAGTACCCCAGGCCTGGGGGGGAGCAGAGCCTACCCACTCACCCTACCTTGGATGCAAACTTGCCCTCCTTGTAGAAGGGGGTCAGGCACTTGACCACAACATTTGCAGCCTCCTTCAAGGGGATGCCAGGAGCTGAGAGCTGGCAGGAGTCTTGGGCCGTAGGGTTCAAGGTGCCCTGATCACTGGCTGACGACATGCTGCCCTTGACCTCCACTAAGATGGAGGGCTTGGCTGAGGGGCGAGGCCTCTTCTGAGCCTGGCTCTCTAGGTTCTCCTGGGCAGGGCCATGGTAGAGGGTCACTCTTGGGCTCCCTTTCATTGGCCTCCTCCCCTCCTCCTGGAAAACTGGACCCCAGTACCAACTGGCTCCCTCCAGCCCATCCCACCTGCTGCTGAGTATGCGAAGCAGTGAGGATTTTCCCTGAACCCGTGACCAGAACAGAGCAGCTACCAGCCCATCCATAGGCCTCCTCCCTGACAATACCTGCTGGGATCTGGGCCGCTTGCCCATCTGTGTCTCCTTTGCAGGGGTGGGCTGGGCTTCAGGGGGGCGCTGGTCTCTGAGTGCGCGAGTGCTGGCCAGACAGAAGAGTAGGTGTCAGAGCTCTAGGTGCCAGCTGCTCCCTCGTCCCAGGCGGTCCAGCAAAACCCATCTTAGGGATGAGCTTTGAGCTTCAGAAGCCCAGTTAGCAGAGGGGATGCTGCCACGTGGATTCCAAAAGATCCCATGACTACCTATGCCCTTACCTTGGTCCTTCTCTGGGGCACTCCTCAGTCTGAGGAGAGGCATTCAAATGTCCCCAGGCTCCATCTTCCTTCTCTGGAGCCATTGGAGGTCCCTGAACCCCCTCACAGGAGGGGCTGGCACTTTCTGCCCTTGGGGCTGAAGCAAGCAGAGGTGGGCTTTCCGCCCTTTGATAGAAGAAGCGGGTGATGTTCTGAGAATCCTTGTGGGCCGCTGCAGCTAGGAGCTGCTGCTTCTTGTTAGCCCGGGCCTTGGCAATGGGACTGCCCCCAGAGAAGCCTTTTCCCTTCTTCTCTGGGGAGGGCCCCGCACAATGAGCACTACCTCCAGGGGCCTCTCCTCTGGGCCCAGGGAGGGGCGCACTCCTGCCCTCATCCTGGAGGCCACAGGGTTGGCTAGGGGGGTCCTGCTCACTTCCCCGCGCGGGCTGGGGAGCTTGCTCCTGGATCCGCGTCGTCTCCATCAGCTCCATGGCCGTCTGGAATGGGCAGGAGCCTTTGGGGAAACCAGCTCCCACCCGCTTGGGTTTGAGCTGTGAGGAGGAGAGAAGGTTCAGACCACCAGGCCTCCTCAGGGGCACTCACTGGCTGGTCCAGTTATGGCATGTTGGGTCAGGGCTCTCAGGGATGTGGGAGGGAAGAGTCCCTTGGGAGTCAGGGTGATGGGAGAAAGAGGCTGTGGGCTGCAAAGGTACACGTGGCAGAGCAGAGAAGCTCCAGGGTCTTTCTCTGGGGCACCCTAGGACCAGCACCATGATACCAGGAGACAAGGGGCTGTGCCCTGCTTGAAGGCAAAGGGGAAATGATACCCTTTCTGGACCTAGGTTTGGGTGGCCACTAGAATGCCACTCACCGAATACACATGGGAAGCTGGTGGGATGTCATACTCGTCGGGCTCTGAGGGCTCCACCTGGATATTGCAGCTGTTGGCACTGCCTCCCACATTGTAGGGCTGCCCATCCTTGGAGGCTTTGTGTATCTCAGCCACCTGGGCAGGGATGGGCAGGGAGAACATGGCACCCATGAGCTCCTCCTGACAGCCCCCAACCCAGGCCCTCCTTTTCTTCTAGGTGCAAGAAGTGGGTTTCTGTGGCCAGTAGCTGCAGGCAACTGGACACTGGACAGGTTCTATTCCTCATGGGGTTGGCTAGAAACACCTCCAGCCGGTCGAGGAAAAGAGTGGGGCTCTACCCCAATAAATGGCCTCCTGGGGCGGGGGCAGGGAGAGGGTGGATTCTGGGCCACCTGGGGCCTGAGGGCCAGCAGACAGCCTGAGAGGATGGAGAGGCTGCCCTTTCTTCCCTCGAGCTCATGAGCATGCTTGCCCCCGCTGCCCGCCCTGCACTGGGCGCACCTTCTTCAGCACGCTGGCCTTGTACAGGTTGGCCACCTTGGCATTTCGGAACGTCTCATATTCCAGGTCGACAGCCTTGGCGTGGAGGTCAGCTCTGTGTGGGTAGGAATGGGCACGAGGTACCAGGCAGGCCTGAGCCCTCTCCCTGTTAAGCTCCTGCGGACTCTCCCCAGGGACCCTGGGGATGGCTTCAGGGCCTGGTGGGGATGGTCTTGGGCCCAGGGATTCTGACTAGGACTCTCCAGGCACCTTGTGACTTGCTACTGTCCTTCAGCAGCCACCATGTAGCACCTAAGTTGTGGTGACACCTGCCCCTGGTGGGGTCGTGGGGATTGGCCGCTGGAGTAGGACAGGTCACAATCTGGGGAGGGGCTGTCCAAACAAGCCAGGGGGTGTGGGTGTTCCTGCAGTCTCCAAAGGAGCAAGAGCTTGGAGGGCCCTCCTTGGCCCAGGCGGCTGACCTTGTCCCCCAGCACCAATGACCTCAAGACACTCACCCATCAGTGGTATGTGTGGCCTGGTGGTTACTGCTCAGAGCCTCCTCCAGAAGCCGCAGGCAGTGCTCTCGGGCCTAGCAGGGAAAGGGAGGTTGGTCACACAGCCTCAGGGCAGGGGGAGGGTCCTGGCAGTGGGGGAGGAGCTGCCAGCTCTTACCTTCACAGTGAGCCTGGGGACCCTCCTGCTGGAAGCCTCTTTCAGGGGACAGTCCTCATCTGGGGAGAGGAGGGGTGTGTCGTTCCACTCAACTTTCTGCTCTCCAAAGTCCCCACCCCCCAGACAAGAATCCTCCAACCATGCTGTGGGAACAGCCCACAAGCCCCCAGGAACACTTCTGTACTGACCTGGGGGTACGAATTCTTCTGTCTTGGGGTCTTTGCCCTGGAAGACAACACGAAGGGCCCATGAGGCATTGTGCCGTGCTGCAGGACATCTTCCATCCAGCGGCAGGGAAAGGGCTAAGAGGGCGTGAGCAGGGGACCACAGGGGACCCTGCACAGGCCACTGAGCCCTGCCAAGCCTCCCCCTTCACCTTGCGCAGCCTCATCTGCTTCTGATAGAAGAGATTCCACTCCCGCTTGTGGGCCTCATCTCTGCCCTCGTCTCCGCTGCCTTCAGAGCCCTCGTCGTACCTAGGGGACAGGCTACGCGTGAGTGCCCCAGTCCTTGCCCTCCCCACTGATGCCACTGGTGGATCAGTGATGTGCCTTATTTCCTTTGGCAGCTCAGGGCAACACCAAGGTCCAGGCCCCAGCATGGCCCTCAGGGAAGGAGGGTGGACTACAGCACTGTGTCACCTCTGGTCTGGCCTTAGCACCAGGGGAATGACTGGCTATCTCCACTGGCCTGGGAATCCCTGGCTTCATGGTCCCTTACCTGCTAAAGCCGCCATAGCCCCTGCGACCTCCCTCGTACAGCTCAGGGTCGAAGCTTTTCCCCTGGGAGGGCCCGATACAGGTCTTGCTCCAGCTGCTGCTGCTCTCCAAGGCATCCAGCTGCCTCCGCACAGCCATAGGGTTCTGGCAGTGGTCGCAGCCTTTGGCGCAGGTAGGTGGTGCGTCCCCAAAGTACTTGGCAATGGCAGCGTGCCGGCATCTAGAGCAGGCAGCATGGTAGGGGTGAGGGTTGCAGAGCCCAGGCAGGCCACAGTCCATTCGCCCAATCCCTAAATGCTGGCTGAGCGTTGCTATGTGTCCGCCACCACACTAGGGTGGTACACACCTTGTCTCATCTGAGACTCATGAGGCACCGTTTGGTTCTGCCCATCACACAGGTGAGGACAGCAAGGTGAAGGAGCCTCCCAAGGTCACATAACACACAGGGTATCCCAGGATGTGAACCCCATCCTGTTCAGTTACTCCTCTACT